CTGCTTCACTGAGTGAAAGGGTGAAATGCACAGCGATCAATAAAGTTTACATTATTATTTAGCAAAGTTATCTGGCCAAAAAATGAGGTCAGCTGACTACGTGAATATAGCAATCGAGCAGGTTATTCCATCAATGCATTTTCTCTTCCCTGATGGCACAGAGATATTCCAAGATAACAACGGCAGGATTCATCAGACTCAGACTGTGAAAGAGAGGTTCTGGGAGCGTCGGGCATCATGTTCACACATGGATTGGCCTTAAACCCACTGAGAATCTTTGGGATACGCTGGAGAAGATTTTCCACACAGTCCGACTCATCCAGCATCAATACGAGACCTTGGTGAAAAATTAATGCAACTCTGGGCAGAAATAAATGCTCCGATGTTTAAAAGCATATTGAAAGAACGCTATGGTCAATGCATGCTGTCATCAAAGTTTTTTTCATGACTTCTTGGCACGGAAGGTGTAGACCAAAAATTCTCCTTTGATTGATTTTTTTTATTGTCTGCTGGCTCAGTATTGGCTGAGAGCATGTGAAACCACCAAATAACTTCATGATTACTGAAAATCTTGTTGCCAGACTTTGGATTAACTACATTGGAACGATCTCAGCATGGGGTTACCTCCTCTAACTTTGGCCACTTTTCCAAAATTAATAATAATTAAAAAACAAACATGAAAGCGAAAAAAAGACTCCATGCTGTGAAGTTTAGTGCCACTTTTTTCCAAGGAAAAATTGAAGCTAACCAGTCTTCAAAGTGGCATCTGTGGCTCATAACCAAGCGGTCACAATATTCTGAATCATCAAAGTGTATGTTTAGGACAAAAGGCACCTTTTACATCAGCAAACCAGCATATATGTGTCCATTACTCCCTCCCGTGTTATCTTTGGGCCAGTCGAAACACTGATATGATCGTGACATGTCATGTCAATCTGTGAGGAAAACGCTCGCTTGTCTCGGGCTTACCTGCCCAGTGTGGAGAGTCCACGTCATCAGCCAACACTCAGGTCAAACCCACTAAATAGATTTACTCATTATAAGTCGATCACAGGTAAGCTCACAGACATGATGCCAAGTTCATACTTTAACTAAATGTGCTTCAGACTTTCACACTTAAACCTCAGAAGAGTTGGGAAGGTTATAAGTTGGTATGTTTATGCTGCATTTCATTTCTAATGGTGCCTTTCAGTGGATTTTACCCTCTTATGATAAGTATAAATGTCAACAAAGTGGAGGCAAAACAAGCAAATAATTTCAATGACCGCAAATTTTTTCCGACCAAACTCCTTTATTTCATCGTTACAGGAGTATGTTACCGTCTCCAGCTTTGGCCGTCTATCCCAGAGAAAGCGAAACGCGCAGCAGTAAAAGCCAACAGGAGGCTTTTACGGCCAATCTTTTCCGTTAACCTACAGTGCAATTAACCACAGCACACCGTTTGACAGATCTTGATTTCATTAGCGAGCTCAAAGCTCATTGGCCTCAAAGAATTCCAGCACATTCAATCAACGCATACTTGCACAGAAAAGCGGCTACACTGCGACCGAAGAAGGAAACGACTCACTTACAGTACGGTCTTTGCCATGTCTACCGCAGCGCTCATGGAGTCCAGACCTTGATATAAAATCTAACCACCGGGTTTATTGCAGGCGTTGCACCTGAAATTGGTTTAATTGCGCAATAAGCATGGACCGCTATCTCCCATCATTAAAAGCTGGAGGTTAAACAAGCACGAGAGTAAATTAGGCCGGCCCAGTCTTTCTTTTTCCAACTGACAGCGGTCCAACTGAAATGTTGTGATTTTGTGTAATTTACTCCAATTATGTATATTTTGTGAGGTCAGCCACATAATAGTTACAATCAAAATCTATGGCAACAAATCAACAGAGAGGGTGATATTCTCAGCTCTCAGCAGCTGAGGTTGTGTTTTTGCTTCTGCGATCTCACACCCGCGACCATGCACACAATGTGTACCATAAGCGCCCGCCCGTGCTCTGATTGTCCTCTCGTGTGTGACCGTGGCGTGATGCACACATGATGCAGAGCACATGACCGTCCCTGAGCACGTGTGCGCCAAAGCATGTGCGTTTTGGGAAAAAAAAAATGCTTATGCAAACGAGCCAGTAAAGCGTGCTGATGCATGCGCGCTGGCTGCTGTTATCTTCGCTCCGTGCTAAGAGTGATCAGTTTACCCACACGGCAGCAAATAGGCGCCTTACCTCACACTCTCTATCAGCCAAAAACGCATTTATACAGTACAGCGTGTACAGTCTGTAACAAGCCTCTGAGCTGATGTGCTCACTGGGCTGAAATAGAGGAGGATCAGAGGAACAAGTAAAAGAAAGAGGCTTATTTGAAAAGATGGAAGAGGAAGGACGAGGGAGGAAATTACTGTGTGCAGATGGCACGTTCTGGGCCCAAAGGATTTTATAATTTTGGGATTAATTGGTGTAAAGGATGGTGTGAAACAGACCCCGTAACGAGACACTTTGCATCACTTCGGTCAGGTAGATGATGGAAATCTCTTAGCGTCATGACTGACATGACTAAATCCCACCGTCATCCATGTCAGTCTTCCCCCGTCATGATACACACCATCTAAAACACACTCCAGACCTCATTAGCATGCAGCAATATGCAAATGGACTTGATTTGTTAGTCTCTGTGAGTTTCATATCACCAGGTTTTTTTCTCTTCCTCTCTCTTTCCAAGCAGTGCTGTCGCTCACTCCATCCCTCTCTCCTGTTTTTCCTCTCCTGGCAACGTCTACACACACACACACAGATAAACTCCGTGAACTCATCTACTGTAGAATGTGCCACAGCCGTCCATGTGTTCCTCTATCTGTGTGCTTCTGCAGATGTGTGCACCATATTGATCTCCTCTCAGTGAGGGAACATGGCCCTTTAACGTCCACTCGTTCTCTGGTAGAACGTGCAGCACCGCTACGTCTGCTATTCCATTTTTGATATTTCAGACGTGGCAAGAGAGAGAGAAATAGGTACTAACAATGAGGGAGACAACACCGCAGCCCGAGGCATCCAACAATGACTCCTGCCTGAAAATAGAGACGGAGCTCTTCTATGTTGAGTGGAATTACAACATGATTAGCTCTCGGGCATGGGATGTGGGATAATATTGGCTTCTGAGCTACAGGGGCAAATGAAACACTGCGCCATCATCCCCGGGCTTCAGGTAGGACCAGTCTGTGCCACACACATATTAGCATCACATTTGAAAAGCCCAGAAGGTCGTTTAAGACTTAGTGCTGTTTTTCAGGTATTTTTAAGATCCTTAAAGACTTAATTTAGTCAAATAGCAACCAAAATTTAACCTAAACTAAACAAAAGTGAGATGGAAAAACATCTCTCCATCTAAGATAGACGTAGCCTCAGTGTCTGAAAAGTGGTGCTCAAGCGACTTAAATGCTTTCTTCCTAATGGCCAGCAGAGGGCAACGTCACTGGCTGCAAAAAGAGCCGGAGTGTATGAATGCCTAAGGGAAAATGACTCCACTTCTCACTTGATTCATGCCCTCAGTAATGAGTTTGTGGTGAGTTTAAAGTCATAATTATAAGATTAAAGTCTCGGAGTCCAATGTAATGTCTGTTTTGTTTTTCTTGAAGGTCCATTCAAAGTAAAAAAAGATGATAAAGCAGTGTATGTGTTAGGATGTAGCAGCGAGCCCTTAATTGCTCCGTCAGTTACACCTGTTGCTCCTGACGTCCGGGTGTAAGAAAATATTGTTTAGTATTACAGTAGTATTTATTTATTTACCTGTTTTTATTAAAGTATGAATTTTTGATATTTAAGTTTTAGGTACTTTACTCGACTATTTCTAATTTGGTACTTGATTACTATCCAGAAAACATTACAGTCTGCTTTCAGCATTAGGTCTGTTATGACTGTTGAATAAACATGTGTCTACTTTAATAATCAATTTGTACTCGAAGTTATGACTTACTTTGAATGTTATCAGTATATATTATTAAAAATACCCTATTATGTCAAATTAACCATCACAAATTCCACACTGTTCAGTTTTCTATCATGGGAGATTAAGAAAACATATGTTTGAATTTGTAACTAGACTTTTTTACTCTATCAGCGATTTTTCATTAAAAAAAAAATCCTCAGATTTTCTGCTGATTCATTTTCAGCCTGAGAAGTGTTTGTTTTTTTCAGCTGATTCACACACACCCAAACCGATCTCTATCCACGTTGCTGTAGTTTAAACGCCCCCAAAGGAGCCCAACTCAGCGCCACCTGGACCATCTCCCACATTGAAATCCTGCTTATAGGTTCACGTATCAATAATTCAACAAGGAACCATTTTCACTATGAGAACATCTGATGAAGGACATGCTCGACTCATAATGTTTACTTTTACAGCACTTCAGAAACAGCACTTCTACTTGTAATTCCACCTACAGCTTTTCATCATGCCATTGATGTTTTATACATGTAAGTAGCTTTGTGACTTTTTCAGCTCTCCTGTACTACGATGTTTACTAAGTATTTAAATGCATATTCACAATACATCAATATCTTGGGTGTATGAGGCATAAATGTCTCGTCTTTGTTTACTTAAGTGCTTATTATACATTGTTTTTGTTACAACCTGTGTGCATTTAACTCTGGAGATACCTGTGATGTGTTTTTAAAGAATATTCATCAATACAGTGTCAGTAATGCATATATACAATATCATAAATATTAGGGGTGGGGGAAAAAATCGATACTGTGTAGTATGGTGATATTTTGTTTGCTAATAATGTATCGATACAGGGACAGCAGAAATCGATATTTTGTTACAAAAAAGGTTTTTGTGCTCTGCCTTCAGAGCATGTTGATCCTTTTTCTGAGCAAGAATCCTGACATTCCTTCACTGTCCAAATGTGTTTAACTTTTTTTATGGCAGCAATAAACATGACAGTTTACTTATTTTCATTTAAGACATGTTTTATTTTAATTAAGTTCAAAACTTTTTTATTTAATGTAAAATCATATTTTGTTTTCATTTACTTTCAAATTCTTCAGTTGCTGAAGGGGCTGCATAGTTTTCATAAACTGCATAGTTCAGAATAGCTATAATTGTACC